TACTAGGAATTTGGGCAACGACAGTTATGTTAATCATTAGCACTATACGTGTGTGGTTAAGAAAAGGTTCTAAAAAAAGCTTATTTGTGAAGTATGTACTTCATTCTATTATAATTATTGTAGATATTGTATTAGTATTCCTTGATATTGGCAAACGACAGAAATTAGATTTTTATCTTGTAATGGCAACGCTTCCTTTAGTACTTGCGATACATGGTGGTAATTCAGCTGGAGGATTTATACATACGTGGTTTTCAATAGCTTTATGTTCTTTCTCAGCAGCAATAATTTGGATTACACCGATAAGCTGTTGTATTGAAGGTGGATGCGGTTACTGTAGTTGTTTCTGGTGGCTTCTTTGTGGCTGCGGATCTTGTGGTACTGATAGTTGTCGATATAGTAGTGGTAGCGATTGTTGTATCTTTCAAAATTGTGGTTGCTATAAGAATGGCTTTGGATTCTGTGGATGCATAAGACCATGCTACTTGAAATGTATGACGCATCCGTGTCCATTAACTGCGTGTGCGTGGTATGGATGGAATTTGCTGCTTGGCATTGAAAATTTGCCTGCTCTTATTTTATGTTCATTGGTGTTGGATGATGAAAAAAAAGATCCAGAGGATTATTCTCCAGATCGTTCGAGCTTAGTAACTGCTATGGGAGGTTGGTGGTTCATTATTTCAAGTGCTGTAGCTATTGGAAATACGTTTATGTATGTTCAATGTGAAAATGATACATTGGGGCAAGCACCAACTATTAGTCATTATTTTTCATTCTGGTTTGGAGCCATATGGGACTTAATAGATAGTATAATTTATTGTTTACTTAATTAATTTGCCGAAATTCATAAATGATAACTATTTTATTATTGGCTCACTTGTAAACGAAGATGGTTCTCCTTTATGACTTTTATTTACATATTTATTATAGGGACTAAGGTTCTATTTAGGTATACTAGAATTTTAATCAGTCCATACATTTATTTGTTTTATTTATTTTTTTTATTTATTTCATATTGCTTATTTTAATTTATTATTTCTGGATATATATGTTGTAAGTGGGATTAAGTGAATTCGGAATTTCTTAGTTAAACTAGGAAAACGGGATCCGTTGGGTTCCGGAGGCCGCTTTGTATTTGCAAACAAATCTAATTATTTGCAAGATAGTAATAAAAATTCTATTTATCTTTATACTGTATAT